AGCACATGGCAAATTTTTCCTTGTCAATATTAATCCGGAGAACGCCCGGACATCCATCGGAAACGAATGACTTTGACAGAGATAATTGAGGAGTCTGGTAATGAATTGGATGTGCTGTTGTGCATGTGCGAAGCTAGGTTACCAAGATCAGTAAGCTGAGACTTCATAGCATCTTAGCATCCCACAAGGATGAGAAAATTTAGATGTTCTACTATAAATTGTTGCTAAAGCCGAGTAGTTAACGTAGAATATGTCGTTAAGTGCTCGGTAGCTCGARGGACTACTAAGTGAGGGGAGAGAGGGGGGKTTCCAAACATGCCCGAGGGACGGGTAGGGCSGGTGGATAATGACGTTACTAGACAGGGAACCCAGTAGTGTTAAGAATGCAGAAATGACGTCATTACACAGGAAGCTCAATTAACATACATTTGAATATACGATTGGTTACGGAGGATTACGACGAATKATCGAYCAAAAAGCGAGGTTATCCCGAATTACATTCACTCACACGCACGCACTACCAGGCGATAGCATAGTGACTTGAGCCTCGTTCCGAGGCACTAGCCACAAAAAGCACGCGATTGTATCGGGAAAAAATGATCTATAGGGCAACTAAAATTGCAGAGAAAAAAGCAGGGGGAACTCAATAGTATTCAAAATAATTTGATGTTTTACTACGAGGCTTTTAGTATTCGTGCGTTGTAACACATGAATCCTGTACAAATTTAACCTGAGTATCAGACCTTAGAGGGCGTTATAGAGACTGATCTTGGCTCGCAGGCTCGCAGGCTCGCACATTACTTATACTCCCTTTCATGTATGTGTTTCGGGATGCTTCTCCTACATGCATGTATGTCTGGCTGCACTCGCTGCAACTGATCTTATATGTGGTATTGGTTGATCTACAAGGACCATTACCTCATGTACAGCAAACAATGCAATCCTCTCTGTTACATGTTTTTCTGTTACCTTTGCACGGTCATACGAAATTCGCTCTAAGGCAGTTTTTGTCTTTTTTCGTCTTTGCGAAACTCTTTAAAAGCACTTCTTAATATGCATGTTCTATGAAATATAACGGGGCTGCTTGTATGTTCATCTGTTGAACGATATATTTGTAGTAGTGATCTAGTATATTTTTATAAACATGTTAAAACATTGAGGGAGAAAATCCAAAATTAGAGATTTCCCTCAGTTCCAAGTAGTATAAGATAGTCATGTTCTACACACGACTTTCAAAATTGGCCGTAGTTAACGACCGAAAACGTATTGGTGTGTTATTTATAAGATAGCATGCACTATTGCAAGACACCATTGAAGTTTAATATGCGGAGGCTGGCCTGAGACCTCGCTTTAGTGCTTTGTCTCCAGTGCCCAGCAACCGTGGCATATCGCGGCACTTTTGAAAGTCGTGAATTACGTTTATTCAAGAAATAGGTACACATCATTTAAGAAATTTTTTTCTCTCGCTTTTAAGTTAACTCCGCTATGTTGGAGTCCTTGAAGTAAGACCTTAAGTCATTCCATGTTCGTTCGCTTATTACTCTTCGAAAAAACAACATTTTAGATTAGATGAACATTTTCCCAAATTGTGTAACTTTCAATGATTCACAGTGCTATAAATGTACAATAACCAAAATAAGTTATTAGATGTTTTATATTTTGATGTCATGCAGTTATGACGTAAGTGAAAACCAAAAATTTTAAGTATTACGAACAGTGAAGGATGCTCAATGAATATGGACATGGCATGAACCTGAAGCTATCTAGAGATATCAATTAATCAAGATGAAGTTATAATTTGAACTATAGAATAGTCTTCTTCAAGGTTGTTCCCTGTACCACCTTGAAAGGTAGCCGTCCCTTTGCTTCGAACAAGACGACCGTTGAGCGTGCAATGATAGAAACCTTCTTTCACACCTACAGACAATTTTTTACCACATA